TCAGATGTCTTTTATGAAGGGAAGAGGAACCCCGATGATCTTCTCTGCAGTTCTCACTACTCTTCTCACCATCTTCCCATCTGTGGCACTGGAGCCTACACACCACTCAGTGAGACAGCTGGTCAGAAAGCTCTTTATGGTGCTTTTGTAGAAGGTGGTGAGGATTGGTTGGGGCAGGTGGGCTCTCCTCAACCTCCACAGGAAATACACGCACTTTTAAGCCCTTTTGACCAGTGAGATAGTGATTACAGCCCAGGTGAAGTTGTCTATGATGTGCAACCCTAGGAATTTGGTGGTGCTGACCACCTCTACAGCTGAGCTGTTGATTATCAGTTGAGTGTGGTTAGGCCAATTTTTCCTGAAGCCGACGATGATTTCCTTCGTCTTCTTCACATTCAGGATCAGGCTGTTATCTCTGCAACAGCCCACTAGCTGCTCCACATACTCTCTGAAGTCCTGGTCATTGTCGTCTCTGATGAGGCTAACCACTGTAGAGTCATGTGCAAACTTCACGATGTGATTGGTGGTGAACCTAGGGATGCATTTATGTGTCATAGGGGTGAACAGCAGGGGGCTCAGGTCGCAGCCCTGAGGGGAGCCTGTGGTTTGGGGGATTACATCAGAGGTAATCTGTCCAACCAGGACTGACTGTCTGTTGGTTAGGAAGTCTAGTAGCCAATTGCGGAGGGGTTTATTGAAGCCCAGCTGTTCCAGTTTTCCTATCAGATGCTGTGGGATGAAGTCCAGGAACAGCATCCACATGTAGGTGTTCTTCCCCTCCAGGTGTGCCAGGCTCAGGTAAAGACCAGAGGAGATGGCGTCTTAATGGCGCAGTTTCATTGGTAGGTGAAATGGAACGGGTCGAAAGTTGGGGGGAGACTGGAGACGATGTGTTCTTTAACCAGCCTTTCCGACCACTTCATCATGATAGGAGTCATTTCCACAGACCGGTAGTCTCTGGGTGAGGTGACCTGAGGATTTTTTGGGACTGGAATGATGGTGGTAGACTTGAGGCATGCTGGCACTATGGTTTGGTCCAGCGAGGTGTTAAAAATGTCTGTGAGGACACCGGCCAGCTGACCTGCACACTCTTGATAACACACCTGCCCAGGTATGTTATCAGGGCCTAGGGCATTTCTTGGGTTGACTGACCTCAGATTTTACCTCACTTCAGCTATGTGCAGGGGCGGATCTAGAAAAATATTTATGGGGTGGCAAGAGGGGGGCAGGAGTTTTTTAGGGGTGGCAACATATGGCATTTGTTTACACTGAATTTAATCACAGTTATCACAGTTTGGTGAGAATAGTATGGAGAGTACTAGTTTTTCATGTGAAGCAGTTCATATTAATAATACATCGTACAATGTGATCTCACTTAATAGGAGATAGGAGAATGATTACATTACTTCTAGAGGGGCCTTATGACAGGAAAGGTATTAAGGTAAGACACAGGTGCTGAGTCGCAGATGTGTGAGATTGACTGTCAGAGAGGCAGCTTTGCAGCATTTGCACAAGAAGAAACTATAGAAAGAAAAAGTTACTGATCAGAGATCTTTGGACTGAGCTGGACTAAAGTGAGCAGAACTACACAGTAGAAATAAATGGGTCAACGCACCCAAACAAGGTACTGGACATCTATGTAATGTTTACTCTGAACACACATTTACCCCATTTGTTCCTCAGTAACTTGACATACAGCAGTTAAGGCAACATGAAAGGGACATTTCATGCATGTAAATATGCTGTAGATAGAGCTGTATATGGAGGACCAACTCTGCCATATTTAAAAATAAATACAGAAATAAATAAATGCTCAATAAATAAATAAGCATACAATTAATTGCCACCAAAAATACAACCAACAAATAAATGTAATTAGAAATTATATTATAATGGCAGCCAGAAATGTAAAAAGGGCAGGCAAAAAGAAATTGCGGCGAAGAAATAACTAGGGTAAAAAATACAAAGGAAGAATAAAACAGACAAAAATATGATAACATGCACATAAATAAATACTTAAAAATATAAGTAATTTAAAAATGAAGTTGAAGATAATAAATGACAAAAAAATAAATTAGGTAAATATTAAAAAGGCAAAGAAATAAAGAAGCCAATTAAAAGAGTTATATACCTTTATGACTAGCTGTATAATTTAATTTCTACTTACATTTATTTGTTGTTTGTATTTTTGGTGGCAATTAATTGTATGCTTATTTATTTATTGAGCATTTATTTATTTCTGTATTTATTTTTAAATATGGCAGAGTTGGTCCTCCATACTGCTGTATCAACAAATCAACAAAAAGGTGGGTTCTGTATGATACATCAAAATCTCCACAAATCTGAAAAGAAGCAACATAAAAATACATTTTGCTTGTGAGTAGGTTCATACAGGTCATTTCTGGATAGTTTCATACTATATATACAAAAAAGAAACAACAACACTGCTTCATATTAAGCAGGATTCACACCAGTATCACATTTTTAACTTTTAACACTTTTGGTTTTATTAAAGGAAATATCAGATTTTCTCAGGTCCTAAAACAAAATGTAACAGCTCTGTAAAGGCTCACCAGAGAGCATAACATAAAGTTACCATGACTATAACAGCTGAATGCGGCGATTTCCATGTTGTTCAGCAAAACGCTTCACAACTTTATTTAGATCCAATGCCTTTGTGCGTTTTGATTTGAGTACAACCAAACTGATCGTCTCTTTTCTGTCATAGTTGACCGCAAATATGTCTTTATGAGCCTGAGACGTCAGGCCTAACTAACATCATAGATAGAGAAATAACGTTCTGCAACCTGATTTTTATCATCTCAAAATCAGCATTGCAGCTATGCTAGCAACATTGTGCTTTCATTATGATTTCATTTCTTGATAGATAGTTAATCAGTTTTTACCTGTTTCATCCAGTGTGTCCTCTCCCCATGACCCCTGGCTCCCTCGCTTTGCCCTATTCGGTTTTCAAAACAATCAGTCTCAGTCGCTCTCGCGTCATCTCGTGCTGCATTCACTGCAGTCCGACATTAGAAATTAGCGGTCGTAATTCTCAAATGATCCATAATTTATAAGCCTCGCCACCCCTACCGCCAACTGGGGTGGCAGCAGGGGTGGCTAGGCTGTCATTTAGGGTGGCATTTGCCACCCTATGCCACCCCAGTAGATCCGCCTATGGCTATGTGAAGTTTTCACTGCTGGAGTGCTGTTTAGTGCCTCAAACCTACCAAAGAAATTGTCTGGTTCATTTAGGAAGTCAGCGTTTGCTGCATATACCATTAGGGTGGTTTGCAGGAATCGCCCATATGCCTTGCCACATCCTACTGGTGTAGCTGGCATCGTGGAAAATATCCTGGATTTTCTGGCTGTGGTTCTGCTTCAATGACATGATGGCACGGTATAAGTTGGTTCTCAGAGCCTCTCTATCAAAAGACTTGAATGCAGAGTTCCGTGCTTTTAGCAATTTCCGAACCTACCCATTCACCCAGGGTCGTTGGTGTGCTCAGGTCTTGATGATTGGTGTTGTATGGATCAGTGGTGATTCATACTGATAAGGATGGTGTAGTCACTTGCTCACTGTACAAATCAGGTTGTGATTTACTCATCCTGTGACTTATTAGAGATTCAGATGTGATTCACGCTCATTCCCTTACTCGACCTGGGTACGAATCAGAGACCATCTGACTGTGCATTGGCCTGGATGAATAATGCCGTCGTTCATGTAGTAGCATAATATATTAATAAAAAGATATGATCTGGAATAGATAGTATAATGGTTTTTCGTAATTGTTTTTTCCCCCTCAAATGTAATCTGCAAATGCATTCGTTTAATTTTTTTTATTTTTGATCTAAAAAAAAAAACATTTTAAAGGAAAACCAATGATCAGAAACAACACTACTTTGCCTGTAACAAAGAAGCAAGAGTGCACATGCACAGTACAAGGCTCCTAGCCTTGCAGATAAATATGCAAATATTGCAGATATCAGCATGTTTATCCACAAGACACACATTAGGATATCTCACAGAGGTATTACATACAGTTATAGGCTACAAAGGTAAAACAAAGGTCCCAGAAACTCCAGTCTTTCTGCAATGAGTTTATAGGATCTACTGGTAATTTGCAATATTCACCAGGCAGGGGATTTCTTAGGTGAATTTAACTCCCTAAATTGCCATTGGGATAGAGTGTGTATTTGGATGGTTGTTGTCCTGTGTGCCTCACTGTTGCTCTCTGAACTACTGGCAACATGGAGGTACTCTTCCCACCTAATGTCTGTTAGAAAAAAATAAAATAAAAACAGAGCCTATATAAAGCCCATTAAATAGAAGGCTTAGCATTAGGTACATTTTGCTGCTAATGTTTAATTTAACCTGCAGTAGGGTGGCGCCACTAGGGGGTGGCAAGGGGTGGCCAAGGCCACTCTGTGCAATGCCCTGGCCACCCCACTTGCCAGTGTAAATTGTAGTAGCATCAGTTTAGCATTGCATCCCATTATGCACAGCAACATAACATAAAAAAAATCACACAATGAACCAAGATATGAGTAGGTGTTTACTTAAGTCTTTATTATCTCTAGATTTAAACCCTGAAATTATGGCTTTTAGTTTTAGTGTGCCAAGATTTTTAGTGGCCCCATCTGGCCACCCCTATGAAAGATCTCTGGAAATGCCACTGCTCCAGTATCAACTAAGATAGGAAAAGACTTGTTGTTTAGAGATGGAAATGCTAATTTTGCATAAAGCTGCTTCCACCATGAAAACATTAGGCCAATGTTCGATCATCTACAGCTATAATAACCTTTCCAATACCCCAGTAAGAGTTAGTCTTTTTTTTTTTTTTTTTTATAAAATAATTATATTTAATAATCAATCAGTTAGAAACAACATATTACAGTTTTATATTCAGCTGATATTTTCTGAACAGAACACGCTCCTATGTTTCACTGTTTTCCTTTATTCTAGATGCGCTGGATCTGAGCGGAGGATAACCACCGTGCGCAATCGCGCTCTCTCACCCAGCAGGGAGCCGCTTTTCCTGCTCAATTTTCGCCCTTAGCTTCGGTCCTTTAGAGGAGGGTCTGGCAGGATGGACGCTCTTTGACAGCCCTCAGATCTCCGCACATCTCAGCTGCGCGCACGTCCCTCGGTTTTCTCTGGCAACAGCAGCGGCACCTGTCGAGCTTTAGGTAGGTTTCGGTCTCTTTCGGAACTGCGCGGGGTTTTGTAGAGTTGGAGCTGTTTGCGGGCATCTGAGCGCAGTCTTAAGCTTTTTTTTTTCCTGTCATCATTTTCAGGCTTCAGTCATGACAAGAGGAAAAAGCTCCCGTCCTCTTTCTGTGCTGGTCTGCTTCATCGCTCTGTGGCACACAAGGTAAGTTTGCGTGTTGTAAACGTTTTTGATCAATCGGAACGGACAGCTCCCTGAATGAAGAGCTCAGGAGCGCTTTTAAACACTGTAAGGACCAATGTAAAGAAAAGAAAAAAACAAAACAGGAACATTTGTTTGTTTGTAAGGTATAGTTTTTTTTTCTCTAGTCTCTGTGCGTTCAGCGCGCTCCGAGTTATTAGAAAACATCAGCATAAAATGACGCTCGAATCTCAGAAGCATCAAAATGAAGTTCAACACCAGAAACCACAATTAAAACCTTGAAAGAATTTGCAGTCATTCTATACTTAATCCTTCCCCCCCCCCACGTTAAGTGGTTATTACGCATGGAAGCTTTTAGGGAATAGAAATTATGGAAATTTAGAATAAGCCATTCCAGACAGTTTGGCTTTAAATGTTTAATGAGATTTCAAAATGATAATTGCTGTGAAATGAAAAATTTATGTGGAATTCTTTTAGTGGTGTGACATGCTGGGCATAGTTCGCCATTTGAATAATAAGGCAGAGAACTGCCAATCAAAGATGTAACTTTAAAACATAGAGACCAAAAGCCAACTAATAAATGAGAAGCATTGTTGTGTCAATACATGAGCTGTTTTGTATTATCCACCTGGTTTTATGTTTCCCTTTTTATAATTTAATTACACTTTATTAATCTCATTCTGGAGAAATTCCCCTCTGTATTCAACCCATCCCCTTGGGGAGCAGTGGGCTGCCATTGTGGGGGCCCAAAGAGCAGTCGTGCTCAGGGACCCAGAGTGGCAGTCTGCCGGAGTTGAACTCAGAAACCTCTGGCATCCAAACACAAGGCTCTTCCAACTTGGCCACCACTCCCCCTTTTATTTAAAGATATTCGCTTGAGGTTTAAATATATATATATATAGATATATAGATATATAGATATACGAATATATTATTGTTAAAGTGGATTAAACAAGGCTTTTGGTAGATTTCGGGCAGCCTCTTTGTCTGGAAGAACTCTTTTCTAAAACATTTGCATAATTCGTGCAACAAAAACATAAAGAATATTATTTTATTATTGTTATTATTATTATTATTATTATTATTATTATTATTATTATTATTATTATTATTATTATGTCTTCCTCTTTCAAAATTATGCATATATGTTACTATTTTAATTCAAAAGGACAACATAAGGAATAGTAAATATCTATTTTCTGAGTTCTCTCATTATTTTAAGTAAAATTGCTGATCTTCTTTCAAGTGTTGTTACTGATCGATCACTAAACGTCCCTTCGAAGACCCAGTAATACTTAACTAACTAACTTAACTAAAAATAGATTCAGAATATGGTCTGAGGAAGTAGCACGGACAGTTAGAAATGTGTTCGCAGGATGAGTTTTTCAGTTTATAAATGGCAGGACCTCCTTCCACCGTGTAAAGGTGGTAAGTAAGGTGGGTACAAAATAAAAAAAGGGATTCAGATCTACGTTTGCCTGTTTTTATTCAGTTAAACCTAATTTCATCTTGACATTTTAAAAGGAGAAGGGGGTGGAGGAAAGGATAAGTGGGTTTGATTGATAAAAACTCCAATTAGATCTGGCAGTTTAACATTGATGATAGATATGTACCACAGGCTTTTAAGGTTTCTTAATAACCTGCTCCTGAGTCTCCTGCTAATTACACAGCTATATTTAACCTTCTTATATAAATTCCATTTTAAAATTACTGCTAATTATTTCGTGTGAGCAATTAATCTGTACAATCAGTTTGAACAGTTACAATCAGGTTTGAGAGGTCATCAAGGTAAAGAAGCACTGCTGTAAAATGAAACGCTTCAAACCTTAATGCTCTGTCTGATGCAGTCAATTTCAGCAACACTTGAAGTGCAGGAACACACTCTACTGACACCAATGCGTTTCGGCTGTGGACATTTTCAGGGTCATTTGCAAGTCACTACAAAGTTTGCATTTAAATAAAAAGTATGATCCAGAAAATGAACTACTCATATATGCACACAAATACACCAAAATGATTCTCTCAAATGACAGTTTTACCTGCAAAAATTAAGTAGCACCAAAAAAGTGGATAATTTTGATTCAATTCTGGGCATAATGGGGGGACGGTTGACCTCTGGAAGAACTAAAAAAAATTTTTTAATACCTCTTAAACAAAAGTAGCACAGATTCTCTTTATTTTACTTAATGTTTGCCTTTTTACAATGATAATTTTCCATCGCACTGCACAAACCTACACTAAAGTAGCACTAACCATTGAGTCTATTTGCCAAGGTTTTTACATGGGTGGGGTGTCAGCCTCATGCAGCTTAACTCCTGGTGATGCTCGCGGAAATCACCGTGGACACCACGTTTGGTCTGAAGGCACCTTATTAGAAGTAATTTAAAATGTGTTGAGGCAGCATGTTTCTCATCCTTATCAACTTTAACCACTAGAAAAACTAGTCTAAAGAAAGAAAGACACTATTCTCACTTGTCCTTTAAGAGATCAGAAAATCACATGTATATGTTGAGGAATATATATTTATATATTAGTGTTGCACAGATACCGATACCAGTATTGGGCAGGGCCCCAATACTGCACTAAAATGGTGGTATCGGTATCAGCGAGTACCAACAAATAGGGCATCGATACCATTTTGAGAGCCAAAAGTTTATTCAACTATTGTCAGAAAGAGAGAGAGAAATATATATATATTTATACAGCTTTTTGGTCTTTTAGCAGGTGAAATGTCACAGAGGACACATTCTGTCACATTGCATCTCAACACCGTGCAAGTAATGCTACAGCTTGTGCTCGCTTCAACACGTTCAGCAGTTAAAATGACATTTGACATTCTTGCTTTTAAATTAATGTTTAATGAAAAGCTTTACGTTGTGTAAAGTCATAGATGCATTTCTTCACACAAATATAAAATAAAGTCCATGGTTATACATGAATGCGTAAACAAAGATCATATTTCTAAACCAAATGTCTGTCTTTAAAGACCTGATAAAAGCCAGAAACCATTATATCTGGGGCTGAACATTAAAACTGACCACTGTGCCTAAAATTTAGTTATTTTTTTTCAATGATACTATCTAAATGATAAAAAATCATATAAATAAATATTAAAACCGATGTCTCATCAAGTTTTTCCTCCTGTGATCTATGCTGTGGACTTTAAAAAAGCCCTTGAGTATTTTTTCTATTAATCTAAAGGTTAATTTCAGTTGATTTCTGCTTCTCTTTTAATCAAACTACATAAAAAAATCACAGCATAAGAAGGTCAGTGGCACCTGCTATTTAAAACCAACAAAATCTACTAGTAAAGTAGTCCCAGTTGGAGAGTGATTTTTATTAAGAAAAAAAGGGCTATGAGCTCTCATGAGTAAACCACTAAATGTAAGTATAGCGTGGATTACAAATATACCAGTCAAGAGTAATACATATCCATCTCATAAGATGCACATCAAAATTGCCCCTTATATTTCCTTTTGTCTTTGAAAGCTTTGTGTTTACACCTTGAACCTTTCTCTCTCTGGTTTCCTGAGAAGAGATCACTAATATATATACAGTATATATATATATATATATATATATATATATATATATATATATATATATATATATATATATATATATATATATATATATATATATATATATATATATATATATAAATTTTTTTTGACTCTTTGATCCAAAGTTGACCTAGTCGTGTTCAATGACAATTTGACATACGACATAATTTTTCTGCAAGTACATTAGATTTAAATATGATGCCTCATTTTTATTCTAATTGGGTTCAAATAAGCCCAAAAAGAAAAAAGAAATAAACAATGCATGGAAAAAACTGCTTTGGCCTTAAGATGTTAAAATTCATCCACCAGCCATGGACTTTTGTATTTGTATATGAGGTAATTGTATGTTATCAACAATAGACCTTTTTTTTATTATATGCTTTTAGTAAGTATGAAAAAAATAGGTGTAAAATACAAAGTATTTTCTAGGTGGAGATTGCCAGTGTCCTCCATCATCCTACATTATTATGGCTTTGTTAACATGGACAGTAACAGGTCCAGTTTGTATTTATTTTCATGCTTTTTATCTTACTTAGGTCAAGAGCAGATTCTAAATCATCACAGAACTCCAAAGACATTGCAACATTCACCAGGATCCTCGACAGTCTCCTGGATGGGTATGATAACAGACTCCGACCCGGTCTTGGAGGTAAGTCATAGATGCATGAATAACTGAAAAATTTAAAGACAGATGTCAAACCAAAGCAGTGGAAACAGAAACTGGAATTATTATGGGATGGGGATCTCTAGTTTCAATTTAATTTGCTTTTTTTTTTATAATCCTCACATTACCAAAAATACAACTACACACTCAAATATATACAGTGCCTTGCAAAACAGTTCAGCCACATTACATTTTTCGTTCTTTTCCCACATTTCAGGCTTCAGACATAAAGATAATACATTGTAATTCCTTCTGAAGAATCAACAACAAGTGAGACACAATAATGAAGTGGAATTAAACTATTCACCATTTTACACTTTTTTAACAAATACCGAAGAGTGAGGCGTGCAAAATTAATCGGCTGCTTAATTTCTGTACAGCAAACTCTCTCCAGACGTTCAGTGATCTTTGAATGATCCAATGATAACCTAAATGACTGATGATGATGATGAATGGAATCCACCTGTGTTGTAATCAAATCTCCGTGTAAATGCACCTGCACTGTGATAGTCTCAGAGGTGTGTTTAAAGCAATGAGAGCATCATGAAGAACAAGGATCACATCAGGCAGGTCTGAGATACTGTTGTGGAGAACTTTAAAGCTGGATTTGGAAACAAAAAGATTTCCCAAGCTTTAAACATCCCAAGGAGCACTGTGCAAGCGATAATATTTAAATGGAAGGAGTATCAGACCACTGTAAATCTACGAAAACCCAGCCGTCCCTCTAAACTTTGAGCTCAAACAAAGAGAAGGCTCATCAGTAGTGATGGTGAGATGAGGCCTCATGAGGCATTGATCCGTTTGGCCAAATTGCTTCAACGATCCCCACAGTTTGTAAAATTTCATGTGAACATTTCACCACCTACTGGTATAGTGCAGAACTACAGTTAGTAATAAAATCTGTGATTTTTGCAATTGTTTTTCTTTTTCTTTTTTTTTTCTTTAAAGTTCCTTTGAAATTGTTAGTGGTTGGTGTGTATAGTAAAACCTTTTGTAAGTTGTTTTTTATGTGTAAAATTCCTTAGAACAATCATCTAAGGTGTACAGCTTTTCAGCCATTTTAGTTAAATAAACTCAAGCAGACAGTGAAAGTGTTTTTTGCATATTGGGCAATGGTGAGCAAACTGAAAAGGTGTTGGTCATTTTTATTCAAACATTATAGGTTTTCCACATGTTTTGGTTTTAATCGGGTATGAAGTTGTGTTCAACCAACCTTTTGGCTAAACTGACCTAAATTGGCAGCGTTTTTATCCGATCTATATTTCTACTAGGGCAAACCAATGCAAAGTCTCATTAGGCAAAATAATTAAGTATTATCGCAACTTTCAAAAGTCAAGGGCAGGTCTTGAACCATCAACCTCTTGAGTGGAAACTGTGACTCACAGATGACGCCACCAATCTATTCTAAGAATCTATCCAAATTTTATCCAGCTGACAGCAACTCTCCTCCAAAACTCCCTCATCTTGACTGAATACTGAGGCTGTTTAGATGCCTGTCAAAATTCTTGCGCTTCCTGAACCACTTCCTGAAGCGGTCACGTGATATCACGGTCGCGAGGCAGCGGACTTCATCAATTTTGGTCCCTCTTTGGGGAAACAACCCCTCCATTACTCGACACACGCCTCGAAGCCTCGGCTCATCTCATAACATCACTACTGATCAGAGATGCAGCCAAGAGGCCCATGGTCACTCTGGATGAACTGCAGAGATCTGCAGCCGAGACGGAGTCTCTGTCAATAGGAGAATGATGAGTCTGCACAGATCCAGCCGTTATGAAAGAAAGCCATTTCTTAAAGATAACCATAAAAGGTCTTGTTTAAAGTTTGCCAGAAGCCACCTGGGAGATAACAGCAAACATGTGGAAGAAGGTGCTCCGGTCAGATCGAAACAAAACTTTTTGCAACAATGCAAAACGTTACGTTTGACATAAAAGCAACCCAGCTCATCACTGTGAACTCACCATTCCCATTATCATACATGATGGTGGCAGCATCATGGTATGGGCCTGCTTTTTTTCATCAGGGACACGGAAGGTCGTTAAAATTGAAAGGAATATGGACGGGGTTAAATACAGGAGCATTCTGGGAGAAAACCTGTTGGAGTCTGCAAAAGCTCTAAGACTGGGATGGAGATTTATCTTTCAACAAGACACTGATCCAAAACATAAAGCAAAATCTACATTGAAATGGTTCTTAAATAAACATATCAAGGTGTTAGAATGGCCAAGTCAAAGTACAGACCTGAATCCAATCAAGAAGCTGTAGAAAGAACGAAAAACTGCTGTTCACAAATGGTCTCCATCCAACCTCACTGAGCTCCAGCTGTTTTGCAAAGAAGAATGAGCAAAAATTTTTGTCTTTTGATGTGCAGAACTGTTAGACATACCCCACAGCAAAAGGTGGTGCTACAAAGTATTAATTTAATGGGGCTGAATAATTTGCACACTCAATCCTTCATTGTTTTATTTGTCAAAAAAGGTTAAAATATCTAATAAATTCCATTCCACTTCATGATTGTGTCCCATTTGTTTTTTATTCTTTATGAATAATTACAATTTTAGATCTTTATATTTGAAGCCTGAAATGTGACAAACAAAACTTCAAAGGGGGGTCAAATACTTTCCAAGGTACTGTAGATACAACCCAGGTAATACTTGGCTGAATCAACTTTTTTGTTGCTATAGAGGAGCTTCTGGATACATTATGGCTGAATATTTTTGACAAGAATAGAATAAAAGTTGCAGAATAGTCATGTTAGGAATTTTAGTAATATTAAATAGGGCTTATTTATTTATTGTCTTTTCTAAGTGCCCCTTTCAAGGCTGAAAAATGAATGTTCCTATGGGTATTAATAATGTTACCTTGAACCTTAGAAAAAAATAGAATAGAATAGAGTCGAATAGAATATAACAACATTCATGTGTAGGAATGAATTAGGGTTTGACTTGCAGCTGTACAGCAGTTGAAGTAAAGGCCCTTCCAGACCAAGCTCTTGGGTTGCATTTCAACCTCACCCTACTCCTGTTTAATTGTTAAAATCTAACAAAGGTTTATACAAAGTATACTATAAAGATCAAGAAAAGGATGAAATTGTATCAGGAAACAATCTGCAAAACCGAGTGCACTTGCCCGAGATAAGTGTGGATAAAGGCAAAGCTAATATTAAAGGAAAGAGAGCTATGTTGATACACGAAATTCAATACATAAATGATTAACAAATAACATTTAGCAATGCGCTGTTGTTGCTAAGGCCCAAGTCTATTTATTTCTATTATATTAATGGCAAACATAAATTACCATCTATGGTGTAATAATCACTAGATTGTAATTATTATTTTTTTCAAATTTGGACTAATTTTAGGGGTTAATAATGGGTTAAAAATGAACAGGGGAATGCCTGGTGTTGCTTTAATAGCATTTAAAAGAATAAGTGTAAGTCTTCTCATTCTCAGAAAATATTTCCCTAAAAAAAAAAACTCAATATACAGACATTCTGATACTAAATTCTAATTTGTAATACAAATGAGAGGCATTGTTCCCAGTGTTCTGCTGTTAGGCCCCAGACAGAGAAAAGATTTTTGTATTATGTTGTGAGGTGTAGAAACACACTTTTGTTCACCCTTCTTTGCTCTACAATGGGAGGATCTGTGAAACTGTTAGAGAATGCCTTTATGCTCCTGTCAGCAATCATAGCCCCTTAAAGTCTGTATTTAACAGCAGGTGAATGTACTGGATTTCCAGTTGCTGTGAGTGTAATTAGCTAAACTTCTGTGTATTTGAAATCTGAATGATTTTCTCAGTGAGAAAAAGCCGTCCAGGTTGGAAATGAGTCAGACTGCATCACAGGATGAGAAACAAAACGTCCATAGTAGATGGTAGACTTCAGGACTTACAATGGTTGGACTCATTTGGCTTAAATAGAGTCTCTGGGATGCATTGATGCTCTTTAAACATGCATACAGAAGAAAGAAAAACATGAATGAATAGGAAATGTATCTTGCTTGTTGGCAGGTTACAGAGAAATTTTACACATACGCACGTGGGCAACAGTCTTATTTTCTGTGTTTGACTGTAAAGTTTATGTTCATGTCTAATGTGAACTACTAGGTTTCAGGATTGCCTTCCTATGTATTTAATTATAGATGCATACATATATTAATTTAATATTAATAAAGTATTTTTGGAATTAATTGTGTTTGTGTAACAGTCAGCATATGTAATACAGCCACCTTGATCCCAATACACTCACATTATTTAAATGCATGATTCAAAGGACTTTTTTCTCTATTTGAGACCAACTCTATTCGTTGGTAATCCAGGAGGTTTAAAATAGCATGAGAGGAAGATACCTCCCTTGTATTATAATTTCAAACTGTTGTCTTTAGGACCTTGTCTCAGATAAGCAAAGCCACTAAATAATTATAAATAAACACAATTGTTTTCTGACAATTATTTGTTTTTTTATTTTTCTTTCTCCAGACCGAGTGACCGAGGTAAAGACAAATGTCTATGTGACCAGTTTTGGACCAGTGTCTGACACTGATATGGCAAGTCGTTTAACACTATTATCATCCTATAAAGTGATGCCTGCTCTTAAGATGTTTAATAACGTAACCTTTTTAAAAATTTTGGTACTATGTGTTAGTCTTCTAAAAAGCACTATTTTAAGTACGTTTAAAAAAATTTTGCTATTAATTTTGCATAAAATCTGTAGAATGATGGAAAATAATCTCCAAAAAACAAAAACATTTTAAAAAATCCCAAGAAAAAACAGAATGGACCACATTTGCAAGCTGTAAAAATATAGTTTATGTCTAACAACTGTTTACAAATCTTTATATTTTAATATAAATTAAAAATTAAATTTATGAGATAATCAATTAAGATAATAATGTAAATAATAAAACCCTAATTAAATCCCAACTATTTCAAAATTATGTATCTTTGAATTCAAGAAAAAAAAAAATCCCTTTATAAATTGACCTGGTTAGTTTAAAAATTTTATTTTACCCCTTGAGCACATTTTGTGTTCAATTGTCCAACTGTATCCAGGTGTTTTATTTATAAAACATTGCATACGATCCTTTAGAAACACTTGAAAAATGTAGTACTCCAAAAAGAAAAAAAAAATCTGATTTAAAAACCCAGTAAACGAATCAATTTTCCTGAACAAGATCACAGCAGTACTTCCAGATTAGAGATCAGCCACAGTAAATAATCTTTTTTTCTAACACTAGTGATGAACAGAGATGGTTTGGGTCTGGCTTATTGTTTTCTCCTGACTGGACCCCTGAACTCCAGAGCAATGATCGAGGGAGATTAATCTGCTCATTAGCCAGTCATTATAATGATCATGGTAATCTTGGTTAGATCTTCTTAATTCATCCATTTACAATCTGTTCAGCATATTTAAAGTATCCATTGTTCACCATTAAACATGGTTGTTACAGTATATATACATGATGTTTCAACAGTATTAAAATGTTTATAGTAATCAGTGTAAAATCCTCACTCCTTGTTACATTATTGCAATGATCTGTGGTATGATTTACACTGTTGGTTATTGGAGATGTGATGGAAAGGAAACATTAAAACATGAATGTTAGCTGTTTGTGTTCTTTTTTCTTCATGTAACAGGTCAGCTCAGCAGTGCCAGCATATATAATAGGATGCAATTTTGGATACAATAAAGTTGATCTATGATTAAAGTTCCATATGAAGTGGAATTAAATTTCTGAGAGAAATGATAATGCAATCTGGCTTCAGTCCCCCACCCCCATCACCATCTGTGTCGCCAATTTCCCCTGTCTCCAAAAAGTGTGTACCCGGTATAAATGTGTCAGAGTTGGTGTTAGAGACCGCACCTTTTTCACGCCAAGTTAGTTTTTTATAAATCACATTCTCTTTCATGGATGTCAGCATATGTACATTTTTTGGCCTGTTTTGTGAGCATGCAGGCTTTATAAATAACACTCAAATGAGAGTCAAGAAATCACTTAAATCAAACCTGACTGACAACATGAAGTAGGCATTAAAAAAAACAATCAATCTATTTGTCTGTGACGTTGTTACTTATAAAGAACAGATAACAAGCAAAGCCATTAGCATACAACAGTCTAAAGATTTGTATTTTTTAGATCCCAGCAAACTTCGGTGTAACTCAGATCCAGAAAAAAAGAGAACATTCACTTTTTAGGCTCGCAGATGACTCAGCCAAGTGGTCACTGAAGAACCTTTACAGAGCTGCAGCCCTAGTTTGCTTAAGTCAATGTAGTCATTCATGATTCTACAATGATAGAAATCCACGGTGGAAATTGTGTCCATGGGAGTTTTTAAAGGGAAGAACCACCACTGACCAAAGAAAATATCTAAAACCTTTTACAGATCCCCAAGATTTTTGGAGCCTTAAAAGACCAAAGTGAAACTGTTTAAAAGGTGTGTCCCACCACACCCTGCATAAAAGATGCACAACATTTCAGAGGAAGATATAACCCTGATAATTAAACAGGGTGGTGGAAGTCTGAAGGTCTCTTTATTATAAAATCCTGAAAGAAATATATGGCAATCAGTTTGTGAGCTCAGGCTCAGTGATACTTGGGCTACAATGCAGTAAAATGATAGAGAACTCAACAAATATATATGGGGACGCACTGTATATACCCGGTTTAAATTTGGGACCTTCTTTTTTGACTATTGAGCTGACGAGTACATTTCACCACTGTGAGATCAATAAAGTCTATCAATCAATTAATCAATCTTTGCTGTTGGACCGCATAGATTTGCCAATGGGGGTGTGTGATTTCAAATTAATTAAGCTTGCCATCTTAGTGAATCAGTGAATTACTGAATACCTAGATACATGACCAAAATAACCAATAACTTCTGTTTTTTCCCACAACAACGGAGAAGACAGTGGACACAAAAAAAACCTTTCAAATGACACAATTTATTTTCTTGCAAGTGCTTTTATTATCGAAACAGCAGATTTGACAGCATGATGTGCAGCATTTAATTTTTGCTGAAGTGCCAGCGGGGAGTCACAATTGAAACATGGGTCTGTAAGAGACAGATAATGTTGCAATTAGTAAAACAGGAAACCCCATGTGCAGGTCTGAAACGAAGAGTCCTGACAGTGCAGGTCTGGGTCCTGACAGTGCAGGTTTGGGTCCGGACAATGCAGGTCTGGGTCCTGACAGTGCAGGTCTGGGGCCTGACAGTTCAGGTCTGGGTCCTGACAGTGCAGGTCTGGGTCCTGACAGTGCAGGTCTGCAGGCAGAGTCCTGACAGTGCAGGTCTGGGTCCTTACAGTGCAGGTCTGCAGGCAGAGTCCTGACAGTGCAGGTCTGGGTCCTGACAGTGCAGGTCTGCAGGCAGAGTCCTGACAGTGCAGGTCTGGGTCCTGACAGTGCAGGTCTGCAGGCAGAGTCCTGACAGTGCAGCCCTGGATCTTGACAGTGCAGGTCTGCAGGCAGAGTCCTGACAGTGCAGGTCTGGGTCCTGACAGTGCAGGTCTGCAGGCAGAGTCCTGACAGTGCAGGTCTGGGTCCTTACAGTGCAGGTCTGCAGGCAGAGTCCTGACAGTGCAGGTGTGGGTCCTGACAGTGCAGGTCTTGGTCCTGACAGTTCAAGTCCTGGTCCGAACAGTGCAGGTCAGCAGCGCGGACACGTCTGCCTCTTAAAAGACTCTTTGGTCATAACTTGGTAATGTAATACAATTGAATGTTAAAGTTATATTAGTGTTTAAACCATTAGTGAAATAAAGCTTTTTTTTAGCATGGTGTACCATTTCAGCTCAACCTGTTAGCTTGTTTTACACAGCAGTAAACATATTAAATGATAAAAAATCATTGGAAAGTCAGATTATTTCACTGGAAAATCTGTCCATATATCTTCTAGACATCTACCTCTACTGATTTCTGTTTTGGAAAAGCTGGGTTTCTCCGGTATTAGCAGCTTAGCATGGAAGCTCACAGCAGGGAAGTTATTTGTTCTCAGGAGCTTAACACCTCCAGCCTCCTCAAGAATCTGAAATGCAGTGAGAAATGCTGCAAACTGTATATTTTGCTGCATTTTGGTTCTGCAGTTTGCTATTAGGTCCAATTAGACTTTGGTCAGTCTGCAGATACAGGGCCTTGCCATGTGACTTTTTAATGATTGTGCCTCTTCGATGTGGGTTGGTCCAAAATCAAAAGAGGAAGAAATCCTGTGAGTTTGGTATTTTCTCCTCAAACAACATGGGAGGCAGGATTGCATGTCCTGTGGGAGAGTCATGGAAGTTTGTGGACTGGGGCGGGGCTGCAGAAGCTGGAGAGTTAAACAGCAGGCAAACATCTGCGTCATATTAACAATGAACATTGATTCTCAAGTCCAAAATTAATATCATGACCAGAGGTATTGTAAATGCCTGACAGCAGTTCCTATACCATTGTCATACCTTTATTGGAAATCACTTTTTCACAAGGGGACATGTTGATTCGGACAACTTAAATGTTTTAGGATTAAATTATATGAAAAGAAAAAAACTTAAGAAAGCTGTAAGCGGTCAAAAAATTCCCTAAGCAGTTTTTGTGTGCTACAAACCTTTGTCTTTGTCTATGTTGATTGTAGTCACCTCATTTCATGTAGCATTTCGCTTCCCATTTGTGCTTAATTTGCTTTTACCTTTTCTGGATTCTCTGCTGTTCTACTTCTGGTTCTTGAGTTTTTGCTTTTTAATTAAAATCTGGATTTCTTGACTGCATATGTGGTCATCGTGTGTCTTCCTTGGTCCTTCTGCGACTTTGGGCCTCAACCGTCTCAAACTAACAAATTATTTATTAATAATAGCAATATTGAATTAAAATTCCTGGAGTTTTAAATGCTGCATGTGATTGCATGTTCTTTTTTTTACCCTGGACAAAATATAAAAAAGCTTAATTATGTTTTACCAGAATCTAACAAAACAATGTCAAGAGGGAATCAGTCCAGAAACTCAGAAAAATATATATTTTTTAAACTCTGTCAATTATTATCTGATTTACTCTGATGTAATCTCAGAGATAATAGGCTCTAGTATGAATTATCTGGAAACAGCATCTTCACAGCTGCTTCTGGTGGATTATGTCTTCTTTTCAATAAGACATATCCAGAAATCATATAAAAGGTTCTGGTATGCTGACTTATTGTTGTCTATATGCAAGGGCAAGAGGAGGCAATGCCCCCTCAAACAAACAATTACCCCCCTGATTAAATCTGCCAAAAGGGAGAACTTTCTCTTCTCTCTGTCCCCTTTACTTCTCACTGTGTGCTTACCTGGGTATAAGTGATCTCCTGTATGCAGTTAGCAGCTCTAGCCTTTTGTATCTTAGACTGATCACAAGATAATACCTAAGGAAAACCTTAAAGTAATATTAAAAAAAAGATGCTAGATTCAATTAAGATTTCCTATTTGTTGTTCAACAAAAGGTTTGGTATGTTTAGTATTGGCTATGAATAATAATAAGTGTAATAACAATAAACTTGGTATTTGAACATGCTTAAATGTTCAAATACAACTGAAACTTTTTAT